GGGGCGGGCGCACACTGCGAGGCGTGTCCGTAGCAGAAGCAGTTGCCGCGCACAACCAGCTCGTAGAGGGCGTAGTAGTACTTCTCCCGGATCTCGCGCCGCGGATCCAGCAGGTTGTCGCCCAGCGTGTGCAGCCGCGTCAGGTTCACCCGCAGGTTGGTGATCTTCAGCAGGTCTGAGTGGGGAAGGGCGGGGCCAGCTGGCCAGGCAGGCTTCCCCAGGGGCGGCAGCCAAGGTCACCTTGGGAGACCTCCTGTCTGCTGTGCTAGGAGCTAAATCTGACCTGGCACCTGCCCTAGGAAGCGCCCAAAATAGCTACCGAGGCCCCAAATAGCCCCCAGCCAGACGCGGCCGCGCCGGCCTCCGGGTGGGACACTCACTCTGGATCCGCGGGCTGTAGGGGTCTGGGATGGGGATGGCAGGGTCCAGCACTCGGTAGATGACCTGGAGGGGCGCGGAGTCAGCAGAGGCTGGACCTGCCCCCAGACCCGTCCCCCTCCCGGTCCCCCTCCCGGTCCCAGCCGGACCCCCGCACCTCGCCTTCAGTGGATGGCTCGATCTCCGCGTAGCGTGACTCACAGACGACGTCATCCCAGTGCCGTGGGGGGGCCAGCGGGACGCCCGGGAAGTCGGCTGCACAGTCATAGGAGAAATACCGGTACACGTGCCAGGTGCGTCCGAAGTCTGCTGAGCGCTCCACCAGCATGGCGGCTGGGCGGAACGTCTGGAGGGGCGGCGGGGGATGGCTGATCAGAGGGCCCCAGGACCCGGGTCCCGCCCAGGCCCATCAAGAGCTCTGCCCGACTGGGCCCTGCCCTCAAGCAGCCCACAGACGGGTGGGGAAGACCAGAGGGAGCCAAGCAACGACCAGGGAGGGTAACCACCTCTAGGGGGTCGGCTCAGGGGCCGTGGGGCCCAGGGAGGCAGTGCCAGGCCCAGCCTGGGGTCCGGGCAGCATGGCGGCGGAAGGCAATGGAAGGTGTGAGATGAAGGAGCCTCCCACGCGGCCAGAGCGCAGCATCTGAGCTCAGGGGGGCTGAGGGCTGGGGCTGAGGGGCGAAGGCGAGCCAAGCAGGGGTTCGAGCAGGCTCCCAGGCATGCCGGCACCTTGAAGGTCATGATGAGGTGCGTGAAATGGAACTCAGCCTCCAAGTCCAGCTGGATGGTGACCGCAGGGACACCTGGGGCAGGAGGCGGAGGTCAGGGGCCAAGGCCACCGGTGGGCAGCCCTGCTCGCCCCGTGCCCCGTCCACGCCTCACCGTTCTCTGACTGCCACCAGGCGGCCCGGCGCTGCGGGGCGAAGCTGGTCACCACGTTCTGGATGCGGTGGCTGTTCGGGTTGTCTCTGGCGGAGTAGGGCTGCCGGGAGTCGCACAGGAAGCACTTCTTCTCGTCCTGAGTTGGGTCAGGGTCAGGGTCAGGGTCTCACCGGTGCCAGCCCCACAGGGACTCGGACCCCAGCCCAACCCCGGCGGCACCTGCAGGTGACTGACGATGCAGTAGGGCTGGGGGCCGTGCAAGCCGCAGGTGGAGGAGGCCGTCAGCCTGTCCGCTCGGCCCACCAGCAGGTCCCCTGTGGCAGGGTAGCAGCTTCCCCGAGAGCAGCCTGGCACGTCTG